ATCGGGAGCCTTTTGGTGATGGAGCAAGACGCTTCCCAGGCAGCAGCTCAGCGCCAGGGGCACAAATCCCTGCCTGGATCCCATGGCACCGGGGGCCAGAAGTTGCGGGCAGAGGGGGGGACAGAGGGACCCAGAGCCTCTGCTGCCCTCACGGGGTGAAGCTGGCCCCAGGGCACACGGGGCCCTGCAGCACACCCACTGCCCACCTCCATGAGCGCCTTTCTCACGGGCTGGGCGTTGCTGCCCAGCACTTTGCCTCCTGCACATCACTCCACCTTGATTTCTAACCACGGCAGCTTTTGCCTGGGAGTGGTTTCCAAGCATTCAGCTCGCCCATATCTTATCCACGCTGGTTTCCTTTATGAGCTGCACCCATGGCAGGTCCAGGGCTTTACATGCAAACCCAAACAAATGTGCAGTGGCAGTGCTTCCCATTCCCACCCGGCCGGCTGCAGTGGGAGAGCGGTGAGTCAGGAGCACCATAAAGGAAAGTGAAATAGATCCGCCCTACGCAGACGATAGGATCAGGGCAGATTAGCACCCTTGGATCTCATTCAAGGGTCAGCATAAATCTTTAATCTTTGCAAAGTCCCAGAGCCTCCCTCCCCTGCAATGTCTCACATGCATGCACACCAGGCATGACTAAACAGCTCTGCGGGGATGGCAGACACTTCAGAAACTCCCGGCTGGTTTTGGTTTGCAAACTAAAACAATAAAGCTGCTGTCTGCTCCCAAACGTGAGAACTTCCCCACGCAGCCGCATTGCCCCTGATGTGAGCTCTGCTCCCGGGCTGCCGGGGGGGTGGCACTGCTGCTCTGCCCTGGTCCTGCAGCACTAAATATGCAGTCGAGGGGTCAGCGTGGTCCCCGCATTGGCTCACCCGAGAGGGGCATGAGGGTTTGCTTTGGGAATCGGCGGCACAGAGCTTCACGGTGCCAGCACGGAGGGGTTCCCCATCTCTTGCACCAGCCTGGGGGGGGGGGAAGGAGCAAAAAGCCCTGGCCTAGTTTTTGTTTCACGGGCTGGGCTCGGGCTCGACGGATGTGGTTTAGCGGTCAGCGCATAAGACAGCAAATGAAAAAAAAAAAAAAAAATTCCTTTGATTTCATCCAGCTCGGGTCTGTGCTTGCTCTTCCTGCGGCCATTGGGAAATCACAGCACAGAAAACCCAGCACGCAGCTCGTGCAGCACCCGCGGCTGCTGCTCAGCCACCCCAACCCCACCCCTGCCCCCGCCCCACACCCGGCCCTGAGTTCTGATGGATTTATGACGTGTGTCCTCTCCACCGCTCTGCGTGCAAAGGGCCAGACAATTTTTGTATAAATTAATATTTATATGTTCACATAAACATTTTTAATAGGAAATTGCCTAATAAGCTCTATAAACCTGCGAGCGCTCGCAGCTGTCCGAGGGAGCGCAGTTGTGCTGACGGCGGCGGTGGCAGCGCGTTGCACCTCGCCATGCAGCAACGCCAGGAATCCTTTGAGTCATCGCTCTGAGCGCTCCGGGATGTGAGCAGATCTCCGTCTCGGCCTCTCCCCAACGACTTCGCCTCGCTGTGGGGTTCAGACGTGGATGTGGATGTGGCTGGAAAGCCCCTCCGAGCGGCGCCTCCCGGCACTCCCCACGGGCTCGCGCTGCTCACGTGCGTTGGAGCGGATCCAGGGCTAAGCGGGAAGCGCTGGGCAACGGCCCCATGGCCTGCCCCTGGGATGAGCACCTGGAAGTGAGCAAAGCGAGGAAATGCAGAAAATCAGCGTGGGCTCCGTGCAGGCAGCAGCGGAAATGGCCCAGCGTTAACAGCTTGCCTTTGCTCCCCGTCATCAGCCCCAGCTGTGTGCCCCTGCCCCTTGCGACACAGCGCTCCATCACGTCTTTCCCCTGCTCGGCTGCAGCTGACAGACTGCACGGAGCGTTGCACACAGCTGCGGTGGCTACAGGACCGAAACGCCCCATGGGGGAGGTGATGGGGCTGGGGTGGCCCTTGAGGCAGCATCCCTTGGGGTGAGCATCCCTCAGGGTAATCATCGTTTGGGGTGAATATCCCTCAAGGCGAGCATCCTCGGGGCTGCATCGCTTGGGGAGAGCATCCCCTGGGGCAGTTATCCCTCAGGGTGAGCATCCCTGGGGCAGCATGCATCAGGGCAGCTCATCCCCAGGGCAGCATCCCTTTGGGTGAGCAACCCCAGGGCAGCATCCCAGTGGCCCCGCTCCCAGTGGGATGCTGCCAGGCGCAGAGCACGCGCTGCAGGCTCACGGCCCAGTGCTGCCCCGTGCTCTGCTCTGCAGCAGGAGGGAGCTTTGATTCAGGCACCGCACACCCGCTGCTTATTCACTGGACGACATGAGCCACTGGGCAGGGACTTGAGTTTGCTGTGACCTTTGGACACTCATTTAAACCACGGAAACGCTGACGGGCTGCCAGCGAGCAGGGAAAGAAGCAAAGGGCCGTTGTGATGTTTTGCCATCAAAGCCCCATCCCGGCACAGTCCCCGTTTAGGGAGCACAGGGCCACGATCTGTGCTGGGGCCCTGACCTTAAATCCTCCCTGAGCTGTTCAGAGTCACATCCATTCACTTTGTGCACATCCTCAGGCAAAGGCAGCGATGTGAGCTCTGTACCTGTGCCAAGGACCAGCAGTGCTCCAGGAATCCGCTGCCTTTTACACCTCACTGTGCCCATACCTTTCCTTCCTGGTTTCACAGACCCCGCCATGGGTGTGCTAAGAGCCCATTGCACCCCATCCCCACCCCCATCCTCCCTATCCCTGAGCCCCACACCGAGGGCTCAGCCTTGCTCAACCCTACTCCTTCTCCCACGAGGCAGCGGCTAAAGCAGAAACAGCAATTATCTGGTTCAGTCTGGTGCTGCTGGCCTGAAACATGCCATGACAACGTGGTTCTTGTTTCAAAGCCTCTTTTGTACTAGGACACAGTTCAAGGGATCTTGCAATGCTGCGTTTGTAAACACGCGGCACTTGCAGCTACACGCTGGGAGATGAGAGCGGGGGCAGCATGGGAGGGCACTGCTCCCACCAGGGCTGTGCTCCCCCTCTGTGCCTACTGCAGTCTGGGGGGCTGGGAGCCCCTGGGATGCCCGTTCCTGAAAAGTCACCAAAAATGGAGTCCTGAAAGAAACAAAAAAGAAAAAAAGAAAAAAAAAAGTGCATCACTAGGAATTGTTTTAGGCCCTGATCCATGCATAATGCAAATCAGCGGCTCCTGGATATGGCTGCAGACACCCTTGGCCTGCACAGGAGCTTCCCCAACAGATAGTGAGGAGCTCACAACATGTCGGCATCCTGCAGGGCTGGGGGTCGTCCCCACAGAGCTCCCACCCAGCTGGGCACAGAGCAGAGCCCAGGTGGCAGAACTCCCCACGCAGTGCTTTCCCTCTGAGGCAATCCCTCCCCTGCTCCCCGGACCCTGCGCAGCATTCCCTGCTTCCCTTTGATCTGTTTCTGATGGGGCTGCTTCCTTCTGCTCATTTTTCTTGCGCTCCGGTTTCTTTTCCTTCGAGTTTTTTCTTTCTTTTATTTTTTTTATTTTTGGACAAATAATCCTCGTGTCTCCCTCCTCGCCTTCCTTCAAGGGGGTTGCTCGGGAAGCCCTATTTATGGGTTGAAACGCTGCTGAAAGAGTTATTGCCATGTTATTCAGCTGCTGTGCCAAGCCTGCATGGAGATCGGGTTGCTGCTGAAAGGGTGCCAGGCACGTCTTTTTCCAGGAACCAGCCGCCGCATTTAGCCTCCGGCTGCACATGAAAGGCTGCAGTCGGAAACGTGACATTGTGTCAACATTTGAGGCAGGTCAGAGCTGGGTGAGACCATGAAAACAAGGCAGGGAACGCGACGCGCCCGGCACGGCAGGGGTGGTGAGGAGGGGCTGGGGTCACCCCACGTCCCCACCGTCACCCCACGTCCTCACCATCACCCCACGTCCCCGTATTCTTGTCTTCATCCCCCTGCAGCCATGTCACCCCGTGTCCCTGCCCTCCATCACACACCCCTGTTCCATCCCACGGCACACAGCGGTGGCACTGAAGGGACCCCGTGTGCCCCACTGCGCTGCCCTCCTGCCCGTTCCCCCAGCACGTGCCCACCAGTAAGAGATGGGGATGGAGATGGGGCTGAAGTGGGCTGAGCACCACAGGGATGAGGCACAGCCGCAGTGACTGTGGAGGAGCTGAAATGCGGCTGTGCTGAGCGCTGCGTGCCGTCCCCAAAGGGGGTTACGTGGGGTTGCCTTCAGCGAGATCAATATTTAGTGCTCATTAAACCAAACACCAGCACCGGGATGCACAGAACGCCTGAGTCCATGCACATGGGCAGCCCTGCGCTGCTCAGTGCCGTGCAGCATGGGCACGTGTGTGCGTTCCACAGCGGGGTCCCAGGGCTGCAGCAGCCCCATCCCACACAGCGCTTTGCTGTCACCACATCTGGCAAGTCTTCCACACTGTAAAAACCTCCAGCACCCAGCAGGGCCCTCATGTACTGCCTGTGTGCAAGGGGTGAATGATTCCAGATCCAGCACCTGAGCAGCACACAGCAGTGGAGCAGTGGGATTGACCCCATCCCACCATGAGGGCAGGAGGAGCTCCCCCATACCTGGGTCCTTGGGAAACAGCATCCCAGCCCTGGAGCAGAGGGGGTGTGGTGAGCAGAGAGGGGCACTGGTCCAGCCGCTGGTCCTCAGCAGCAGTTGGGATCCAAGGAATGGGGAGAAACCTCAGCTTGAGCAGGTTCACCTGGAGCTGGATGTGGTGAGAGGAGCGATGCCCAGACGTGCAGACAGGAAAGAGATCAGCGAATATCCCTGAAATCAATCAGCGAGCATCCCCAGCAATCCAGCGGCCAGTGAGCATCCCCAAAATCAGTCAGCGCCACCCCGACACATGGGAAATACCCCCATCCCCATGCTCATTCCTGCTCCTGCCCCAGCCCAGGTCCTGCAGGAGGACCCAGATGAGCTGTTGGAAAGCACAGAAGCTGACCCTCATCTTCCACAGGAAAAGAATTATTTTATTAAGTATTTTTAAACAACTACTTAACATTTACTTGAGATAAAAATATGTACAATATCCCACCTTGAAGAAGGTTCCAAAATATAAACACTGTACCTCTCCCTAGAGAATAAAACAAAGCTCTTCTCTTCAAAAAAACAAAAGACAACCCAGAAACAAAGATACATTCATATTTCACACTTCTTTGATGCTCAAGTAGTTATACAAATAATAGACATCTGAAACGCTTTACCTTTTAATATATTTATATAATATATATATATATAACAGGATTTTACAAATAAAGGCAACTGTATACCAAAAAAAAAAAACAAAACAAAACAAACAACCCAATAAAATAAAGGTCAGAACACGATCTGCAATCAAGCATAGTGCATCTCAACAGCTGGGGCAACAGGAAGGTGAAATGGGAATCATACCGGAGTTGTGCTGGACACCAGTCCTCAAAACCAGTGAGAAGAAAAAAAAACAACACAAAACAGGGAAAATTCTGTTTAAAAAAGGAAAAAAGAGAAGCCAAACTGGGCACGGTGTCATGGCTTTACCTGCAGCAAAGGGCCCCGCGGTGCTGGGATCTATGGGACGTGCCCAAACCCTCACCTGGGTTAAGCACAGCTGGGCCACGCTCACCTGGCAGGACCGGGCTCAGCCTCCACCAGCAGCTCGTTACAGGATGGGGCACAGGTTTGTTATTCATTAGGTGTACTCCACGTAAAGCCTCCAAGCAGCATCTACCTTTTATTTATTAAAATACTCATCAGCAAAGGTGTGGAGAGAAATCCTAGTCTGCCTGAACCACTGACTATGCACGGCCAGGCTGGGAGCGCTGAGCCCCCAAAGTACCATCAGGGACAGCCAGTGCTTACAGCCCAAGGCACCGTGGGGACACCCAGACCCTCCTCTGGGAACATCCAGACCCTCCATTGGGGACCTCCACACCTTACAGCTCAGAACCCCCAAAGTACCACCAGGATCACCCAGACCCTACAGCTCAGAGCCCCCGACGTACCACAGAGGGCATCCGTACCCTGCAGCAGGGCCATCCATACCTTCCACTGGGGACATCCAGACCCTACAGACCCACATCTGCCTCTCGGGGCATTTTTTCACAGCTTTGACATACGGCAGCTGACCGAGCCAACCCGCTCTGTGGGTGCAGAGAAGGGGGCGGAAAGCATCGAGCTCTTTTCTTGTCCTTTTGGAAGCAGCTCTGCACGGCCAAGCCGGGTGCCTCCTTCATCCTCCTGCACGCTCCCCGGCACAGAGGACAGGGACGTGGCTCCCTGCACGCTGCGAGCCGTGGCCCACACCTCCCTCCAGCCAATGCATAAAAGTGAAACGGTCTCAAACTGGAAAGAAAAAAAACAACAAAAGACAAAAAAACCAAAAGCCACGTCGCGCTTAGTCTTTGGTTTCCAAGTTCAACGGGGGGATCTGCTTCAGCGCCTGCAGCAGGGCTGAGGAGTCGATGGGGGAGCGGGCAGGCCCCGGGGAGGGCAGTCTCTGGGGCAGCAGCAGTGGGGGGGACAGCTTGTCGGGGCCCACAAAGCCGGTGAGCGCGGCGGCAGCGGGCGTGGGCAGCCCGGGGTACAGCACAGGGACGGAGGCCGGGTACCAGCACTTCTCCAGCATGGGCAGGTAGGCGGTGGCGGACGGCGGGATCAGGTAGAAGGGCAGGCACAAGGGGGGCTGGTGGGCGTGGGGGGGCAGGAAGCCGCCTGCGGCGCCCATCACCTCGCCGCCAAAGGGGCTGTCGTCATCGGGCACCTCCAGCCTGCTCCTCTTGGCTGGAGGGTCCTCGCTCTCTTGCTTGATGGAGCCGATCCTCTCCTGGACGGCGTATTTCAGTTCGGTATCCTTTGGGAAATAGGGCTGCTCCGGTTTGGAGTCGCTTTTTTCCAGCTCCCCCCCGTAGCCGCTGTCCGTGTCCGTGTCGCTGCCGCTCTGCTCCCCGCTGGAGGCAGCGAATGTCCTTTGGATGACGGGCACGCAGTTCTGCCCGCGCCCCTCGCCCGCTTTGCCCCCCGGCGCCGCCTTCTCCTTCATGTCCTTGGGGCCTCCCGGCAGCAGCTCGGCCGCCACGCGGTGCAGGTGCCCCACCAGCTGCGCTGCCTTCAGCTCCTTGTTGTCGTGCTTGGCCACGTACTGCAGCAGCTCCTTGGCGCACAGCTGGAAGCCGGAGCGGAACATCTCTTGGCTGGAGTCGAGGCTCCTCGCTGACAGGTCACCTGAGGAAACATTAACAGGGAGAAATTAAAAATTAACAGCACGCCAAATACTTTCATTACCACCTCCAGGCTGACAGCACACTTTCGGTACGACACAGCCAGCAGAGCAAACTCGGTGGCCAACCTGAGTTCCCACGACTTATGCACCAGATTCCAACCTGCTCCTTTCACATCCTTCCGTTCACTTCTACCCATGCCCTTCATCTTTCAGTTCTGCATTTACTGCATCCACTGGGGAGCAAGCAGCCAGTGCACCCCAGACCCAGCAGGACCCCCCTGGTGCCACAGGTTCCCCCTGTGCCAAGGGGTCTCCCCCCGTGCTGACCCTGCAGGGCAGTGGGGCCTGCCCAGCCAAACTCAGTCTGACTTTATCAGACCCACGTGAGTGCCACATGTGCAAGCAGCAGGAGGAAGCACAGGGAGCAAGCAGCTGCTGTGCCAGGCCCCTTCTGCCTGCAGAGTGAGAGGGCACAGAGATCTGCACACAGATAGCGGCGTTTGTGTGCTCTGGGGGAAAAGAGCAGAACTAGGATCCAAAGCTCGTGGTCATGAATGGAGAGAGCTGAACAGCTTTGGAGAAGACATCACAGCAAAGCTGGGCTTTAAATAAAACAACTTAAAATCCACTTTAAAATTAAAGCGACCGCACGGCGCGCTTGGCACTGACCCCGGGGAGAGCTGCACTTGTTCTGCACAAGCCCACGAGCCAAGCGAGAGAAACCGACAGCAGTCAAAGGGCAGAGGCACAGCCTCCCCCTCCCCATGCAATGTCTCCGCAGCCCCGCCAGGCCCCGCACGGCGCACTCACGCACCCGCCTGCAGCCCGCTCTGCAGCGCCAGGATCTTCTGCTGCTGCTGCTCGATGAGCGCGGTCAGAGCCTTCACGTGCTTCAGGGTCAGCTCCAGCACCACCGCCTTCTCCAGGTGGCCCAGGGTCTGCAGGCAGAGCACACAGCGCGTTGGACACAGCTGCGGGGTGGGAAGGGCACTGGGGGATATTCCCAGGGCAGAGATGGGGGCGATTTGGGGAAGGGGGTCGGGGGGCAGCGCTGATAATTGGGGAAAGCACAAGACGTGCTTCCTGTGAACAGAAATATCCGGAATATGCACGGCACACACAGAGAGCACCGCGGGGCAGCCCCCGGTCCCCTGTCCCGGGGGTATTTGGGGACGGCCGGCCCCGAGCAGAGCTCTGCGCCTCAGCGCTGCTGCCCCCGCCGGCACCGCGCGCTCAGCGCAGGGCCGGGCCCGGAGCCCCGGAGCGGTGCGCGGAGTGCCCGTACCGTCAGCTTGAGGTGCTCGGGCAGCAGGTCCTTGAGCTGGGCGATGCACTCGTTGATCCTATCGCGCCGCTTCTTCTCTATCAGCCTGTGGGGCAGCTTGTAGGTGTCCTGCAAGGAGCGGCGGGTCAGCGCTCCGCACCCACCCTCCGTCCTTTTCGCGTTCTTTTTTTTTTCCCTCCTTCCCAAATAATCGCTATACGCACTCAGCATTCCACCCTCGGTTCTTTCTTCTTCTTTTTTTTTTTTCTTGCGCCCCCCCCCCCCCCAAATACTCCCGAGCTCTCTCCGCCCCCCACCCCTCAGCACGCAGCCTTTCTTTTTGATTTCCCCCCGAATTGTCGCTGAGTGGATGAGGGAATTCCTCCCCCAGCTCCGGAGCACCCCACAGCTCCCTGTCTCCCCCCCAACGACGACCGCTGACCCCCGCCCCGCACCGCCCACCCCGTTACCTTGCTGTCCTCGCTCCTCTTTAACCCCCTCCTGGGCTTGTACACTTGGTACATGTGCGCGAAGTCCAGCCTGCACGGGCGAAACGAAAGCAGCGAGGTTACCCCTGTCCCCGGGGCCGCGGCGGGGGGACTCTCTCCTCTCGTCCTGTCCCCCCCGCAGCCTTACCCCGGCACATCGGCGCTCTCCAGGGCGGGCAGCTTGCCCAGGCACACGGGCGGGGGCTGCGCGCTGGGGATGCGCTCCATGGGGGCGCGGAGCGGTGCGGTGCCGCGGGAGCCGGGAGGAGCGGAGCGGTGCGGAGCGGCGCGGAGCTCAGCGCGGGCAGCTCATGCCGCGTCCCCGCCTCGCCGGCTGAGGAGCGGAGGGAGGCGGAGGGCCGGGTTAAATGCGGCCGAGTGGGTGGACGGCGGCGACGTGCGTTACCCTGTGACTCCCGGCACGTCTGGCCGGGCTCCCCCCCCCGCTCCCTCCCTCCCTCCATCGCCGTCACATGAGGCTCACGTGTCGGCGAGCGGCGGCCTTCCTCCCCCCGCCCGCTCCGCCGTGCAACGTGCCGGGGGGGGAGGCGGGGCTGCCAGCCCGTGGCCCCGGGTGGCCTCGGCCCTGGTTGCTTCCTGGCCGCCCCTCGGGCGCTGCCCCGCCGTCCCGGAGTGGAGCGGGGCAGGCAGGAGCTCGGCACCCGGCTCCCGCACTCCGGCACTGCCGCGACGCGTCGGTAATCCCCGCTGCCGGAGCCCTTTGGCTGCTCCCGTGCTGGCCGAGCCGTCCCGCGGCGCGGGGCTTACTCATGACCTTAAGGGATGCTGCCAAGGATTTAGGAGTCCCCCTAAAAAGAGGATCCGAGCGGAGCTGTGGCATTCCTGGGCGGCAAGTGGGATGACGGAGAGTTGGGTTACATTGTCCTCCCTGTGATCGGCTTTCATAAGCTGGGGCTGATGCAATCAGCAATTTGTCTTCGAGATTTTGTTTGCTGAATTATTTCTGTGTGGAAATGCATACGTACAAGGCGTATACGATGCAGTAAAAAGGCCAGATTTCCTGCAGCTGCAGGTCTGGAGTGCCATACCAGGCGAGCAGCAGACGGTGCCCGGCAGTGATCTGCAGATATCTACAGAGCCCCGGAAGCCAAGGGCTCACAGTTCGGGCTCAAGGCGTGCTGAGGACTCAGAGATGATGATTTGGGGCAAAATGCTGTGAAATCCCAACAGCAGCACGGGATGGAGCCTGTGTGGGCAGCACGGCGTTAGCAGCTGGGCTGCAGCTTCAGCCTCACGATAAGGTTACTGCGGGTGGTTTTGTTTTAAAATGTCCCTTACTTAATATATCCACGAAGGCCAGGCATGTGCCTGTGGCCTGGAATCAGATAGCTGACTCCTCTGCTCTCTCATTTCCAGCAATCTCGTTTCGGGTTACTGGCACCGGAGATTAAAGGACGGCTGCAGGCGAAGGTTATGCAGGGCAGCAGTGCTTCGGCTGGGCACCCAGCGGGCACCCGACGGGCATCCCCAGAGCCCTCCTACTGAACACACCCCCACCCCCAGCAGCCTGCAGGTGGTGACCAAAGCTCGGACTGAGCTTTGAAAACACACTGCCCGGAGCTGCGGTGCCCCATCCCTGGAGGTGCCCGAGGCCACAGATGGGCCCTGCGCAGCCTGAGCTGGGTGGCACCAGCCCATGGCAGCGGTGGGGGTTGGATGACCTCTAAGTTTCCATCCAACCCAACCGTTCCATGAATCTGTGATGGTGTCAGGGTACAGGGACCTGTTGGGAAAAGCAGTGAGAGCCAATGGCACTGAGGGGCTGCTGTGTGTGTGCTGCCATGAGAGGGGCACAGCCCGTCAGCCACGAGCTCTCCTCCGACCGAGCGCGGGGAGGTTTGCCAGCACCAAGCACGGCAGTGGGAGGAACACGTGGGCAGAAGCTATTTGGAAGTGGCAACATTTGTGGACATTACAATTCATAATAAGAGACTTTAGCCCACTTTAAGGCTCTGCTTAATGAAATCTCCCCACCATGCTCTGACAGCCGCCCTGCCTGGGCGCTTGCTGCTAACCAGGTCCCTGCTTGCACCATCGTGTGGGAAACCGCCCCCAGCTCTGTGCTGGCAACGGGACCTGGAGTGCCCCCAGCCCCGGTGTGAAGTTCCAGGGCTGTCCCCCATCCTGTGGCCACGCACTGGGGGCCACCACGTGTGGCTTCTGAGTGCCAGGAGGGCTTTGCACAAAGGTATCAGATCCCCACACGGCTCTGCCCAACATCAAGCAGTGAGTCAGCTCCGGGCCGTCAGATGTCTGCGCTTCAGCTCTCAGATCTGCGGAGCGAGGAGCACAGAGCTCTGCAGGTATGCAAAGCAGAGCGAGGTGCCTTCAGATCTCTGGCTCAGAAAGCACTGCACCTCCCAACTGCAGAGCTGTTTATTTTTCCCTGGTATCTGAGTACCTGGGTGAGAATCAATACCGGGGAGGTCTGTTCTGCCTGCAGGGCACAGGGAGCAGCGGCTGCAGTGACACGGTGCGTTTCCTTCCTACCTGGATATAAACAATTACTCCTCATACCAATAAAACCCCAAACCAAGTGGGCACGAGAAGGGACCAGCAGCACATTCCCCACGGTTTGACTCAGGCCACAGCCAAGTTAGAGGGACCCTCCACCCCCTGCTGAGGACAGAGGGCTGCACGCACTGCACTGAGCTCAGTGGTGATGTTTGGCCCTTGGAAATAAAGAGGACACAAAGAAAATGCAGGAGGTAAGGTAGGGCAGGAGCATGGTGCCATTATCCCCTGCACACGGGGATCCCTGTACAACATGAGCTGGGTGCATGCCAGACATTCATGTGAAAGAAGCACGGGCAGGAATTCAGCGCCATAGGAAACATTCGTGGCAGACTTGTGCCCAGTGAAGGTCACGCACGTGTTTGCTCTCCCCCAGCACCCCCACAGCCCGCTCCAGAACCCAGTGCAGCCCCACTGACAGCCCTCGGGGCCGGGCAGCACAGGAGGGGTGAGCGCAGCACAGCGCATCCCGCAGCGCCCTGCCCTCCGTATCGCAGCCATCTGCCCGAGAAGCACTGGAGCAAACCACAACTGAGGGTGTTGCTGTCTTCCCCAAATACTTTCTCTAATGAGGTTTTTAAATAGTCCTGCCCCACCCACGCGGGCACCCAGGGCACTTTCATCTCAGGTGCTTGGGAGCTGGGTGGGACCCTGCTGGCACAGGGCAGGGGAGTGCTGCTCCTTCCCTGTCCCCAGAGATGCCCCATGCGTGTGGGGCCAATGGGAACTGAGTGGCAGCAAGCAGCAGCTGGCCGTGCTCAGACCACGGCTCGCTAACAGGCATCAGGGCCCCGTCAGATGTGACCTGTAGCTACCTCTGACCCTACTGGCCACACGAGAAAATCACAGTCATCCCTCCCAGTGTTGTAAACTCTATGACCATATAATGAAAATAAAGTCCTGCCCAGAGGGGCTGAGTGCATCTGCAGCTGCTGCCCAGATGTGGTGCCAGGACCCTCAGCCCCCACCCTGCTCACAGACCCGGCCAGGGGAGGGTATGCACAACAGATCCTGACCAGCGAGACGCCGGGTGCCTTCGGTCTCTGGATAGAGAGCTGAGGCTCTGATTTGAGATGATGAAAATGAATAACCATCTGCTCAGCAGCCGCTGCGGACCCACATTGTATCGGGGCCATATGGTGTCCAGGGCTCCTACGTACGGATTCAATTAGCTGCCGGCGCCTGCGTCAGCAGTGCTGGATCCACCCAGTCATGCTTTTGGAACAAATATTAGAATATTCCCATGGATCCTCCAGACAGTGGGAGGTGTTTCCTTCGCTGTGGAGGTTTTGGGAAGCGATGACTTAGGCTCATTCTCTCACATTCCCATCTCCCAGCTTCCCAGGGCTGTTCCCGGGATCGCTGCGCCCCAGGGAGCAGGGAAGCCCCGGGTGCAGCTGCAGAGTGGGGGGGAGGTTGGAGAGCGGAGGCGGAGGGCCCCGCTGGGACCGGGTCAGGGCTTGCAGCACTTCCCAGAACACTGCCCGCTCCTAGCCCTGCTCCAGTTCTCTCTTCCTGGCACTTAATGCAGGGTTGCTGTGCTCAGCTCCTGCCAGCAGCCAACCCGCTGCCTCCGCCTCGCAGCCCCGTGCCAGCAGGTTCCAGCTGCAGCCCTGCAATGGGATGCAGAAGGGAGAAAGCAGTTCCCCGACTGCTCCCAGCCCTGCAGACAGACAGGCGGTGTTCCTGCCTTAGGGAGCCAGATCATGCACAGTCTAACCAGCTGCCACCGGCTTCCCAGTCTAGCAACATGGAAGCTCCTTTTCTCCTGTACAGGTGCAGCTCTGCACCCTGCTCTCCTGCACTCTCCACGTGCATTGGCCTACACTGCTTTTCCATTGCGGCTGCAGTGAAAAAAGCCCTGCCAGGAGCAGGAGCCCCACGTGCAGTGGGATGTGGGCATGGGCTGAGCACAATGCTCTACTCCCTCTGCAACCAGAGGACCGCAGCATCCTCTCCCTCCTTTGGGAATGTGCAGAGGCAGCAATCAGCTCAACCCAAGCAGTCAGAGCTGCTGCTCCTCCCGGGGCTGTGGGGTCTGACAGGAGTCCAGCTACAAGTCAGCTCTGATAGGAGAGCTCTGAGAAGGAGCAGCAAATGGAGCAGGTTCTCATTATGGTGCAAAGCACATAATGGTGAGGGAGGAAGCGACAGGATGGTAGGGCTCATTGCATCCCGGGTCCCCTGCAACTACAGCGTGCTGGCGTGTGCATCTGCTGCAGACTGGGAATGTCTGATGGCTACATGGAAGGAAATGCCTCTGGCCCTGCCTGCAGGATCCAACGTGCCACTTCGTGCTCTTCTTCCCCTCAGTACAGAGCTGCTTCCTGCCAGAACACAGGATTTCAGGCAGCTGGTTCAGCCTTCACTGCCAAACTCCACACCAACACACTCACATCATCTTGGGGGGATCCCTGGCCAGGCCCCACCATCTGATGGCGTGTCCCTGGGTCCCCCTAGGGACATGCTCCCAGCTGGGGCCCTGGTGCAGTTTGGGGAGGTGAGGAGTTGCTGCTGGGAGACCAAGCGGTGACTGATGTCTTCTGGGGAAAGTACTTGATGTCCAAACATGTGAACAGCAAAGCCCAGGCATGCGGTTGGGTGATGTGTGGAGGTAGGGAGGGACTTTTTTGTGCCAAATTTCCCTTTTCCCGAAATGGACACGCCAAGTCGCCTTATTTCTTAATATGCAATGAGACGGAGGAGGAAAACTTCCTTCTTAGCTTCTTTTAGGTGCCAGCGTTTCTAGAAAGCTGCTGAATCATGCACGCACATGGCCCCAGTGACACCCCACAGATGACTGTGACCACACGGTCCCCCCATTCCCTTCCCCAGAGGCCTGAGCTGCCCTCACCCCAACGCTTCCTCTTCTCCCACTGCTCCCTCCTGCAGCAGGGGCTGTG